GTCCCCCCCCCCCCCCCAGCCGAGATCCAGCCGAGGCCATCATCCTGCACTAAAACCCTGGACTATACTTGTACAGGCTGACGTACGTTCTTGAATCAGCAAGCATGTAGTGCACCTGGCGTTTCAGCCACGGCGAGAAACAAGGACTTGGTGAGCTTAAAGTAGCCCCCCTGTAGTCGACCTAGACCATCCACAGAACGAAATGAACGCAGTGCTCTCTTCTCGCTCCATGATTGACCGACTAAACCATCGCGATACAACAACCACCCCCAACTAAAACAAACCATTCAACGAAAATCCATTAAACCAGCTCTGCACCTACAAGGGCGGAGGCGGAGCCAAAGGGGGAACGCCGGTCCCGTTTCCCGCGGGCGACGCCTCCTCACAAGCCGACCCCCTGGAAGAACGGACGCGCGGGAGTGGCGGTGGAACAGCTGCCGGAGTTGGCGGCGGCAGCGGCGCAGGCGGCGGTGGGCTTCTCGATGACCCGAAGTCCCTCCTGGCGGCCATCAGGAGCTCCGAGCCCGATGGCGAGACCGGGGATGGCGGAAATGGCCACAACAAAGAAGGAAATCAGGAGGCGGCGACAGCGTCAGCCGTTGAGGGAGGCCCGACAGGACGAGAAGAGGGAGCTGGAATACCGGGGGCACTCGGTCTCGACGTCGACGGCGGCTACAGGAAAGGAGTCGGAAACGGGGACGCCTTGGCCACGCGCGACATCTTACTCCCCGGAGCGCTCGCGGGATTAGCGTCCGACAGCGGCGACAGAAAAAGGAGAGAAAACAGACTGAATGAGGGTCGCCGCGGCCCTCTAATTTCGGAAATCGTTCCTGACACCTCGACGCCAGCACCTGCCGGGGATGAAGGAGAGGCTCTGAGCCACGTTAGTGATAATTCGAAGGTGTTCGATGGATGTCCGGGTCAGGAGCCGGGTGCGAAGCGGAAGGTTGGCGGAAAATCGGCGCCCGTAGTGAAGAAGGGCTTCCTGTCGTCGTCGAAGGTAGGGGGGGGAAAGGGGCGGGAGAGGGCGCCGCTTTACCCGCCCGGTGGGTCCGAGAACGGAGCCGAGCCGTCGGCCTACGCGAAGCTCATGAGCCGCTGCAAGGTGGTGGACACCAGAGACCACAGCAAAGAGGAGGTGTGTCTGACGACATGACAAACGCGTTGCGTCCTACAGCTGAGAATCTCGCAGTCGGCCGAAATGCCGTCTCCTGTCGTTCTGCAGCAGTGGTTATACGTTGCCCTCAGAAGACCCCAGCGCAAACCGTGATACGGTATTTCATGCTCGAGCTATTGCTTCTAAGTACGTTGACTTGAAGGTCGTGGGCACTTAGATATGCAACTCGACGGGGTGGTTTGTGTATCAAGAAGATAAATGATGGAAGTACGCCTTCCGGCTCCCGTTGCCCGTGGTGGACATTCGGAGGGAACGGCTCTGCCACCCTTCATGTAGTTCTCGTGATAACCTGCGGACTTTCTAGGCTTGCGATAACCGTGCCTGTTATCTGTCGCCGCCCACATCCTCCCTGGACAGGTGGATGCGGCGATGAAGGCCCACGCTGGCGGTGGTGCACCGCTTCGGCCTGCTTCGCAGACCCCCGAATCGAAGCCTTCCCCTACACCTACCGCCGGGTGCGCCAGACGCAAGCCGGCGGCATCTGCGGCCGTGAAGAAGAGGTTTCACGGAGCGGGCAATGGCCGTGGTGAGGTCAAGGGCGAGGAGGGGGGAGGGAGGGGTAATCCACGCGGTCGATCAAGCAAGGTGGATCGTGAATACGAGCGTCTTGTGGCGCTCGCCGATCCCGAGATGGGCGACGGTGCAGGTGGCAAGGTAGGTCGAACTGAACCGTAGCGTCAAGTTTCATTATTAGTATCTCCAGGCAAGAGCACGGTGCCCACAATATAAAGATGGGCAGATCGAGCATTTATAATAAGTCGAACACTATGCAAGATGACTTTTTCACTCTCAACCGTCGCCCTTGCCGATGTTCGTCCTCGTCTTTGGTAGTCATCGCACGGTGGAGAAGATGACCCCATGACGGAGCAGCTCGCACAGCTAGCCAAGATCCTCGGGCCCGCGGCACCTTTGCCAGAAACGCCCCTCGGCCCTGGATGCGCTACTGCTTCCTCCTTCTCTTCGTCAACTCGGCCGTCATCATCGGTGGCCGTACCACAGGCGTCCAACCTGGCGGTAGACGCCACCGGGGATACGTCGCCGCCCTCCTGCAGCGCTAAGCAGTCAGAGGGAGGGGTTAATGGCGGCGCCGATGGTTCTCGTGTAGCTAGAATCAAGCTTCCTACGTCAGCCCCCAATCAGGGTTCAGAGGAGGGGTGTCAAGCAACACTCGCAAGGGAGGCGGTAGCGGTAGCACCGGTGACGACGGCACCTACGACGGAGATGGAGGGGCAACCACCTCTACCGGCACCAGCCCCCACAAATACAGTTTCCCGGACCGGTGCCGAGGATGCCGAGGGCTCCCGCTCGTGCCGCCACACCCAACCGCTCTCGCAGGAGGCATCGCCTCCTGCTGTCTCTGCCGCTGCACGAAAGGAACGCGAGCCGGTATACCGGATCGAAGAGCTGGTTTCACGAACGTCGGAAGACGCACGTTCAGGGTCAGACAATGACGGTGAAGGGCGCAAAGCGAAGCGGGCCTTCCAGGTAACCATCGACCTGCCGGAGATGAAGGAGTCCGCGGGATCGAAACAGGGACAACAGGCGGGGGGCACTACAAGCACCCGGAGCAGCGGAACGGCGGGAAAGAGGACGGGACCGTCCTTGTCGGATGTAGAGCTTGATGTTTCGCCGGCCTTCCTCCAGCTAAATGTTCCGGGGAAGTATCAGCTCCGGCTGGAGATGCCGTGCGTTGTGGATGAAGACAGCGCGACCGCCAAGTTTAGCAAGTCGCAGGCGGTGTTGAAAGTTTCGATCAGAGAAAAGTAACATTTGACTACCTTTCGGCACGTTGCCTCTAGCGTGAAAGTGTAGCTAGGTTTGGCGGCGTGCAATCATGGTTTGGGCGAGGAGGGAATCGAGGAAAGGGCAGCAGCAACAAGATTCTTAATGGAAGTAGGACTTATTCTCATCGAACGGTGGTCCAGTGCAATGACATGAGAGTTTTCGTCTGTGAGATCGATGCAAAATGGAACGTTTCAATCACTGCTACTTCAAGTAAAAATTTCATCACCGAGTGACACGCCTTAGTATCATTTCGGAGTGGGTGGACGTGATAAGGATATTTCGCATTCGATAGTTGCCACAGAGTGCACGCAATCGAGGTTGCTGCACATGGTTGAGCCGACCCGTATGCATAACAGGGTTGCAATAATAAAAGCTTCCTTCGGAGATAAATCGGTCCAGGTTTTTGACGTGCAAGCGAACTCTTGGGAGAAACCGATTCGTCTTTTCGTCGACCCGCGCGTCACCAGACAGCAGTTATTGGCTAGGGACGTGAAACACCATGTTGCAATAAATCGACCAATCACGCCTCAGTATCCGTAAGTACTATCAACAACGCAAGCAATCCCAAGTTGTTCCAGGAAGCAAAATAAAGCTCGGAAAAGCATGCGATGTTTGGGCGGGTGGACTGGCTGCGTGGTCCAGCGAGGTTTGACACCAACCCGCACCTGTGCCTGATATGGCGCTCAACCCAAGAAGGAGCGAAAGTGCGGAAAAAGTACTCGTGTAGTACCCGCATTGTGCACAAACCTATTACATAGTAGTATACAGCCCGAACAAGTGCGTGTCTTGTGTCGCTTACCTCCAACAGCGTCGCGCGTGTTTCGTCCTTGACGCGATGCGGAAAAGCACGGTAAATCCCGTCGTACTGTAGCTGACCACAGGACGATAAGACAGAGAAAAGGCACGTGGAAGGTGGCACTGCCTACACCACGAAACTTCCTATTCTTGCACGATGGAGGGAACATCGTGGTGGTGGTATTAGAATTGGGTGTACATGAATGACAGAGTCACTCACTCAGGCTGGGAGATGAGCCTCGAGGCCGTGGCTTTTTCGGTGTTCTGCTCGACCTTCATGTGGCATCATTTACTAAATACAAATGTTGAGATGTTCATCCGTCGCCGCCTGACGATAGCACGTACATGACATGTCGGACAAAGCGAGATAGCACAAAATGAATACGGACGCAGACCCCGCCGTTCCCACTCGACACAAGAGACCGAGAATTAGATCATGCGTACAAAACCAAAATAACGCGAGATCGAGAAATAAATCATACGTACAAGACCAAAATCACGCGCATCGAGAACATCACGTCACGATATTTGATAATCTAGTATTTCTCCCCGTCTATGCATAGGTCGGATATGTTGCAAAGATCAAGGCACGCGTGACACCTGAATTCTGCATTTTGCCGACAAGCAATCAAAGAAACGTACCCCTCATATCCGTACTATGCCGGAATATTCCATGCCTTGCTTTGGCCGGCCAGGCTCTACCCCCGCTGCATGCTGGTACACGCGAGCCTCGAACGAAAGATCAACTTTAAGGGGGGTGGACTTAAATCTGCACCGATCACTCCTCCTCCATGAGTAGACCTGGCCCTGGGCTAACAGGGGTAAAACACATGCCCTCACCACACTACCTTGTGCTAATCTGAGCGCGACCGTCTCGAAGGAAAGAGAAGCTTGCGCTTCCAGAGGCGGTTTTATCCTACATTGGTTGCACGGTGGGCGCTTTGACCTTCGGCAGCGCCTGTGGCGCTTTTTACCATGCTGGGCATCTCGCTAGAAAATCTTCCATGTCGCTAGCCGCCGTGTCGCTGGGCTCGGCTCTGGGGTCAAGTCTTGGCGAACTCTTGTTCTCGTACACGGACGCTAAGCTTGCCGCTAGCTTCGATTCCTCAGACTCATACACCTCACCGTCGCCGTAAGCGCTGTTCCGATCGTTCCCGATCACTTCGTCGGAACTATCCGGCTTTCGGTGGCAGCAAGTTTTGTACCCACCGTTGTCAATGACTTGGGTCAACGCTGCGGCAGGGGCGGGGGAGGGGGGGGTTTGCGGGAAGCAAGTACAATCAAGCACCGGTGAAGAACTTCAGAAGCTTCATTACCACCAAAACTGTTTTAGGCCAGCAAACCTTGTACAGGGTAACACATTTCACTCCACACCCGGCGCTTGATACGGACCCCACCAACAAATAATAGCTACGTCAAAAGCCTGACTTCAAGCGTGCTCCACTCACCACCCAAGGGCTTCCCCGCGTCAAGCAGAGCTTGGATGAGGTCTGCCTTGTTGTTGCACAAGGATATGTCCACTTCCGCGGCGTTTGACGTGCGGCAGAGCTCGTCGAGGGGCTTAGCCTGAAGGAGAGACCTCCATGCCGCCCCTCCCACTTCCGGGAAGCGGTCGAGCAGGGAGGGTTGCGAGCAACACAGCTCCCCGAACGCTTCTACAAGGCCAGGGTCCAGCTCGCCGAGGACAAGGCCCTCCGGTGGGAGCAGGCAGATTGACGAGGAGAGCTCCAGCAGGTAGCGCACGACGTTGCTCCAGGTGGGTGTGTGCGCCGCGGCGTGGTCGGCCCAGAAAGGTTTCAACAAGTTCGTGATGTTCAGGAAATCGGAGTCGAAAACGTACTGCTTGGCGGTGACCGGAGGCTTTAGCTGTAGGGTACAAAAGGCAGACATACGGCGGGGGTTGTGATATAGCGCACCTCCAAAGAATTGGTATGCAGGGCTTTGGAACGATATCTTTATCATCCCGGTGACCGAAACTTGGTTGCAGGAAGTAATTCCTACACAGGATGGAGCTGGGAAATGCCATCTTATACTATCCCAACCTGGATAGACTAATAACTAATGTGCAGTCGAACGACCGAGACTCAACCACGTACCTGGGCGTGCTTTCTGTAACTGGTTGCTACCATGATGATCCCGGCCATTTTATGGGCATCCAGGGTGTCCAGATGAGGCCTTAGCCTAAGTACCTTGCAGCAGCAGGTGTGTGCCTTGTCAAGGAGTCCAAGGTCTCCCCCGCCGGTACCTGTAAACTGGTTGAGGTATATCCCGGCCTCGCTCAACGAATTCTGGAGTTTTGATAGCTGCCGTTTCCAGGGGAACGAAAAGCGGGTTAGGTTCCGCGGCGGAGGGAAAACGGCGCACAAAGTAAATAGCTTGGAGTCTCATGGGCATGAATAATTGAGTGTTCATCCTTTAGAATAGGCTGCTCTACAGTCATTCATCAACGGGGAAGCACTTGGCGCACACATTCTTTTTCTGTTCCCGCACCGTGACGTGGCTGCCCAGGCTATCAGTCCCGACTTCACAAGTCGTTCAGTGGCTCTACAGTCACGTCAATGCGTGCATACTTTGCACTCACTTCCTTTTGCTGCTCCCGCATCACGTAGGTCGCTTCCAAGGCGATCAGCCCCAACTTGACGTCGTTCAGTCTCGATGATATGTCCTGGAAATAATGGGAGTTTTCTTCTCGAGCCTGGTCCATGGACAATTGGAGCTCGCCCATATCGCATCGCAAGTCCTGCAGGGACCTGTAAATCACTGCCGTCCCCTGACGCACAGTGTGGTTTACCTCCTGTAACCCTGTCACGACCTCTTCCCGCACTCCCTCCATGTTCTCGATAACGGTGTCCAGATCCGTTCGCACGGCAGCCACACCTTTGACCAGCTGAATAACAGAGTACACGCGTAGGAAGGAGCCGATCAAAGCGACAGGGTGGAGAGGGAAAATATGACATCAACATTAAGGAGTGGAATAGGCAGCATCCGGAAATTTCCTTAGCGCGTTCTTTTCATAACCTTTGATAATTGTTCAAACCACCACACGAAAAACGATACCTCTACTAGCTAGGGGCAAGAGCAGAAATTGCCCCGTATCACCTGCAATCCGCCCGAAACGAACACTAAGAGCTGTTCAGGCTTCCAAAAAGCGATTTGCTGGCAGGGTGCACAGCAACAGTAATGCCTACGAGCAAGAGAGCACACTGCATGAATGATCTCGTCTCTACAACTTCGAGGGATGTGTCTATGTAGGATGTGAATCTTTCACGAGCAACGTGGCAATGAAAGGCGATTCGCCCCATCGCAATCTTACTCGCAATGATGGGTTCTCGCCACTCTGTCCTGTGTCCGAGGGTAGCAATTATCGCTATGCATCTTGAGCCTCTACATTTTTTTGATTCCGTTCCGTGGACTCTCCTCTCGGGGTCCGGATGATTGTGTGCTTAATCGCGAAGATGATAAACTTCGATTGAATGTGGATAGCGGTATCATCGTGACCACTGAAAATCGTTGCGTTTGCCTTCGAGGTAATTTGACCGACGGTGACTTCCTTCGCACGCTGTTCACAGTGTAGACTCTTTGGCGGTCACACCTCGTCCTTTCATTCCTATCACCTCGCGAAACAACTCTGCAGAATGTCCGGCCTCTTCACCTGATCTGTGCCGTAACGAAAGTCGTTGCCAACGCCAACAAGTTCGTCCGCTACGGCCTGAATGGCCGATTGTTGGCTCGCAGCAGTTTCCGACAAATCACGCAAGTCGCCCCGCACGTCCAAAAACCCTTCCGCTAGAGCCTGACTGGTGCGCCCTTGTCTGGCGGCCAGCTCCGAAAGACCAAGCTGCATCTGATGTTTTGTAGTAGCGAGATACACATATGAAGGGCGAAGGTGACGTTCCGCAGTGGACACATGGTAGTAGGGTGTTGCGTACGGCAAGGTCTGAAGCACGGAAGCTTGCACGATGTGAAGCACGTGGTTTCCGTTGGATTCAAGTCCCAACTAAGAAAACAAAGGTAACTAGCAAATATTGAACTTCTATTGACAAGCACAAGATAATAGATAGGCTGTCGCCTAAGATACCCCTTGGCCGTCGGCATTGTTAGAAAATACCACATTCGGCTGCTTTCGCCCCCGACCTCCATGGATCGATTCCAACGTAGACTACTCATCACGTATACGCGAGCGATTTCGGAGAAAGAGTGAAGCTGAGGGAGTGCGAGAGTTTGGGCATGGGAGGTGAAGAGGAAGGCTCGAACTGACCGAGCGGTATTGTCACGGCCTGTCAAGGAGGAGCCGAGAGAATCGGAAAGTCTGGGAGGACCGTTGAGAGCAAGATTGACGTAGAAAATATGGCTCGTTTTTCAAGTGGTTGAGAGGCTCCCTCTGAGCCTTCGAGAGCACCTGCAGCACTCGTGAGAAAAGCTGCCCAAGAATACGATATTGTGTGGGGGGAAAGTGCAACCGGTCGGTCTTAATGTATTATCTAGAAGTTGACAGTCCCCGAAGCCTGTCTTACCTGACGTCGGTGTGTGGCGAACTCTGGTGACAAGCCGGTAATGGCCCGCTGGCGCAGCGTTCTTGACCCGAAAAACTTTCTGTGCGCCTTCATGGCCAGTTCCGTCCCAACCGCCATGATCGCGCCTTCCACGGTGTCGCACTCGAGACCGACCTCGACGTTTATATCCACGCTGGTGTAGCCTGCGCCCGGTTTATTGTCATCTACAGTCTCCCGTCGGCGGTGAGCAGAATATCGATTCGCCGCCCACCGCCCGGCAAAGAACAACGCCGATGCCAGCTGAATGCATAGGTAGGCTTCAGCCATGACTCTTCGGGCGCCCTAAGTCAAATGTCAACGGCACGAGACAGAGGGGCAACACTTCCTTTAGCCGCCCAATGTCTGAACCCCATTTAACACGGGTGCGTGCTGCAGGAAAAACGAGTGCTGCGCAAAGGAAAAGGTTGCTCAGGCTGACGTCTTGCTGCAGCAGTTCTGCTACCGTAGTCTCCTGCACGTGGGTTCACACAACCAAGCTCTCGACAAAGAAAGACGTTCGATCTCGGCTCGACTTCAGGGATCACGTAAGAACCCAGAGTACACATCCAGCAGCGTATTATGTACGCGAGTACTAGGACGTGAAGTGGAGCGGTAAATGTCGCACTTGTATTGTAGGGGGTTCGAGGCGTACCAGAACACCCGACAGGTTTATTGAGCGGCGACCTCCGACGTATCCCCCCCCCCCCCCC